CTCAAAGGAGGTGGAGGCCTTGTCTAGGTAGAAGTCATCATTCCTGGCAGGAGGAGGTGGCTCTTGTTGCTCCCTTAACCCCATCCTTTCCTTCTGCCTCTTTAGGAAGCAATCAGAAGACTAGGTTTGCTCCTTGAGATGCTTACCCATCGCTGACAATAATCACAATGCATTACAACAGCTATTTTCAAGTGGTGTTCCGCAAGAATTGTTAAAGCATGCAATACCTGACTATTTGGTCAGGAGCACTGACCCCTTTACCCTTAGATTATCAAATTTTAAAAAATGACAACAGCCACCACAACAATAGCCACCCAATGTGAACGAATCAGAATTATATCTATTTTTTTGTCAGACTGGCAAAATATATGACATTTTTTGGTGTGCCACAGGATTTTAGTAATTAGTTTATTTGTGCCATGAGATGAAAAATGTTGAAAATTGCTGCATTATAACATGGAGACCCACATTTTCAAAAGTGTGATTATGAAATTCAGCATAGATATGAATAAAGGCAAAAGGACTGACTGACAGACTAAAGAAATAGAGACATGACAAAGAACATATTTATTTAAAAATTGCATACCCGCTCGGCTGGCGTGCTTCAGTGGTTGAGCATCGACCTAGGTTGACCATAACTAGAAGACTCTCTTTTTAAGTTCTCTTGCCAAAAAATGCCCCTGTTCTTAATTTTTTCTTAGAATGCTCCCTCCATTCTACCAGAAATTTATTTTTTCTTGGATGATGCTGTTCCCATTAACTCTATGAAGTGGAGCCTAGCTATTCCTGGTGAAGTCAGTATGCCTAGTGGACTGAGAATGTTTCCCAGTCAGCACACTTAATTAAGTTCAAGTCTGAACTACATCCTGGACAAGCTGTGTGTTCTTGGCTTAACTTCTAAAAACTTCAGTTTGCACACTGAGAAGCTTAAGGATCTCTGCCCCCAAAAGTTATTGTGAATTAAAAAGGGGATACGTGGCCTGACATTGTATATCCCATATTCCTGACTGTGTATTTTATAGTTATTTTCTTTTACTTGAAGAGCTGCCGCTACTAGCAAAGCCCATCTTTACTACAGTAATTGAATGTAGTGGGAAATTTGGCTGTAAAAATATCCCACCCTTCACGCACATACAGTTTAGGCCCAGGAGAAGTTCTGTAAGGGTTTCTGTCCTTCCTGCCTATACTTGTAATCCTCAGTATGTATCATTGAGTGTCCTGGACCCATAACTTAGTCTTGCACTTGCCCTGAAAATCCCAAACTTACAATTAACATGGACTTCATTTTCTTTGCTTCTTCTGCCAGGCTGTTGGTTTTAGTCAATATCACAAATTGTGATTCATTAGCTTCTCTCTACATGTTTATGATTTCAACTTTATCTCAATTCTGAATACTAACTGGGATTCTCTTTACTCATTCCTGGTTGGTGCCCTTTTACAGACTCCTCAACAAATGCTTCAGATCTTTCCGACTCTTTCCAAGCCTCCTATCTTTTCCCGTCCCCATCAGTGGGAGGATGGTGGAGTGATGAAAAAAAGCATTAGTTCATTCCTGAGACGAATATGCTCTTGAATAAATAACACAGAAGGCATTTAAAGAGAAAAAAAATCAAAATCACAGGGTTACCAAGTTGATAGTTAGTATGTTTATGTGGACAAAACAGAAAATTCCCCACATAATTATCATATTTGTAGACGTCAGTATTGCAAAAATCAGGGAGTTTTTTTACATTAGGAAGTCAGTAATTGACAGGAAATGGCTTAAGCTTCATTGATTCGGGAAGACTAATTCTAGGTGAAATCTTCTTCCTTATTTCTAGGCTATCTCGGGGTGTAGGGTTTTTTCCTCCTCTCCAACTGTGGGATCTGTAATTGTAGTCATAGTGGTAGCTGGGCAAAGGATCAGTTTTGCTTTCTCTAAGTGGCCAACAGATGTGAATTCTCCTAAATTCCATTTTTCTCAAAGAAATTCACTGGGCCACAGACCATTGAAAACGCAAGTTGCTGGGCTTTATCACCTAGAAATTCTGATTCAGTGGGTCTGGGATGGAGTCCAAGAATTTGCTTTTTAAATAATTACCTCAGGTGATTCCATGCAGCTCATCCTTTTAGAAACACCAAGGTAATTATATCTTCACTTATTTTTACCTTCTTTTTGCTTCAAGAATATGATATATCCTATTCCTTTTCAAGGCTGATTTCACTATATGTGCTTTTAATTCTATTTATGCCATTTCTTCTGGGTACTTGAGTCATCAGTGAACATCCTTCTCTGGTATTGACAATCTCTTCCTTTTCACAATCGCCTTCCCCTTGGCTTACAAATACTTTTCACTCATTTAATAAATTTTTATCAAGTGCCTCCTATGTTTCTGGCACATTCTTTAATTTTTTTAAAAATATGTTTTTATTGATTTTAGAGAGGAGGGGAGAGGGGGAGAGAGAGAAACATTGATGTGAGAGAGAAACATCAATCGGTTGCCTTTGACATGTATCTCAACCTGGGATCGAACCCACAACCTGGGTACATACCCTGACCAGGAATCGAACCAGCAACTTTCAACACAGGATGACACTCAAACAACAGAGCTACACCAGCTAGGGCTAGATTTATCTTTATCAGTGTTTTTCACTGACTTTTCTTCTCTGCCTACCTCACACTCCCCTAAAAGCCCTTTACAGCCTGCTTCCAGCTTGCTTTACCAAGCCACAATTCCTGAAACTCTTTGCCCTACGTGCTTCGTTCAAAGGCATGTACCCTTGGGTCCTTGAACACACTATTTCCTTGATGTCTTCACACATGAAGTTTCCTTGTCTGTGAAGTCTGGAATATTGCATGGCAGATCTGTTAGTTATGTGTCTCAGAGCACCCACTGATTTAAGGTCTTCATCATCTGGAGTGCTCTGACTAGGATGTGTGGATGAGGACTGAGCAGCAGCTAGGAGGGCTGCTCAGGGATCTTTCATGTTTGGGGTAAAGCACACAGGGTGAGAGAGTCAGAGCACAGGAGTAGATAGGGGGACAGGGCAAAATATGGAATTCTGGCTATTGAGGGGAATTGGATATAGGATCTTTGTCTTTTAAAGAGTGGAAAACTGTGGGTGGTTGTTTATAATTAGTCCATAGTGAACTTCAAATAAGGCGCGTACTAAGGAAGACTAGGTCAGAAATGCCACCCTCTGGAATTGAAGCTAATGAGAATTATTAAATGTGACGAGATAAATTAAATGTGAGGAGATGAGTTATCTGAAGCAGGGATCCTCCCTTGGAAATTGTTCCCTAAGTGTGTTGCTAATGAAAGAGGGTGTTTCTCAAGTGTCCCTCAAGGACATTAAGTGTTGCATTGAGGGTAGGAAAAGGAGAGTCAGAGGTAGAGTTTCAGTTGGTGTGTTTCCAGCAGTGTCCAAAATGAGTTGTTTGTCTTATTATTGAGTTTTTTAAAAATATATTTTATTGATTTTTTACAGAGAGGAAGGGAGAGAGATAGAGAGTTAGAAACATCGATGAGAGAGAAACATCGATCAGCTGCCTCCTGCACATCTCCCACTGGGGATGTGCCCGCAACCCAGGTACATGCCCTTGACCGGAATTGAACCTGGGACCTTTCAGTCCCCAGGCCGACGCTCTATCCACTGAGCCAAACCGGTTTCGGCTTATTATTGAGTTTTAATAATTTCTTATAAAATCTGGATTATTCATGAAGCATAGGACCTTGAAAATAGCTATATGAGCTAGTTTCTAGTCTGACCACCTGTGTGTGAGAGTGAAGTGAAGCAGAGATGAGACAACCTTAGTGTTTAATCACTATTTTTTATTGTTAATTTTAATGCAGTCCAGTTATTTGAAACAAATATGTTATAGTCAAACCAAGCAACTATACAGCAGTGGCAGATTAGTCTTTCTTTCCCTCTGGGTTTAAAGGCTATTTTCCTATGTGGAAAGGCCAATGAACTATAGAGATAGGTTGGAGCCATTGTATTTCCATGGTATTGCTCTTCCAGTTTTTGTTTTGTTTTGTTTTTACCTAGAGCAAATTCTTGGGCAACATCTTTCTTGCTAAAAACAAGTCAGAGCCCTCATTTGGATTTCTTAATCCTGAACTGGTCCATCTCTGCTGTTTAAGAAATAATGCTCTCACTCACTGGCTAGGGAGAAACAAACACCTGGTGCCACTTTTTAATGACGCTGTAGGTTACTGATGAAAGATGCACCCGAGAATAAGGGCTTGATGGTTTTGATAAACTGGGAAACTTCCTACATTACATCTTTGCTTTTAGGATCTTCTTTCTGCTACCATCCAATGTGGGGCACACCAAAAATTATGGTTTACATTGATGTAAGAGAAGCTTTGGCTCCAGAATTGGTAGTATAATTTTTTGCTTTTTAAAGATGCAGGCTTAGTTTGGCATAAATAATGAATAGTGAACTCTCAAAAAGACACCTTAACTAAACCCTAGGCTCCATAAATACTTTATATTATGCTTCTAAATTTAGTCCCACACATTATTTATTCAACTCAGGATTTCCTAGCAATGTAGCCCACATACCCTACATTCTTTGGAAGGAACCCAATAACAATAGAATAGAGTCAAATGAAAAAGATAGAAACAAATACATTCACTTTTAGAAAGACGCTTTATAATAAGTTGCTTGTCTGTTATAGTTTCTTATTTTTTAAATTACTACTTGAGTTAATTTCACTTCTATTTATTATTCATCATTAGAATTAACACCTGTGCTCTTGGACATATTTATAGAGTGGAGTGCTGCTACTGAAACTGTGGGAACTTGAGTTGGTGCTTCCATCTCCACAGTTATCACCTTCTGTCTGATAATAATAATGGCCATCTTGTCTATTATCCTCCTTAAACATTAACACTAAATTGGGTGTGTTGGCTGTAGGTTGTCCAAAGCCACAACTCAAGGAGCTTTCTACTTGTCTTTGTCCATGAATACTCTCGTATCTCTCAGACTCACTACTTCTTTCTTCTTCATTGTACCCTGGCCGTTCCTGGCTATTTCTTCTTGATTGATTTGGAGTTGAGCCTATTTTGGGTTTACTGTCCTCATCATGAGTACCAATTAAAATTAACCCACATCTTCCTTCTAATTCATGTTGCTCATAGCTAGGACACCAACTGGATCCAGAACCACATTGTTTAGGGCAAGATGAATGACACGAGCCATAACCATATTGTTCGGTGTCAGAACACTGACCAGATCCCAGACCATATTGTCTGGAGATAGATGAGTGAGATGAGCCAAACCCAGATTGTTCGGAGTCAGAACACTGACCAGATCCCAAACCATATTGTCCAGAGCTAGATGAGTGAGATGAGCCAAACCCAGATTGTTCAGTGCCAGAATACTGACCAAATCCAAAGCCACATTGTTCAGAGCTGTATGAGCCAGACCCATATTGTCCAGTGCCAGAATACTGACCAGATTCAAACCCAGATTGTTCAGAGCTAGAACACAGACCTGAGCCAGATCCATGTTGACTATGGTGAGAGGCAGATCTGTGTTGGCCACAGCTAGAAGGCTGACTCCATCCACACCCAGATTGGCTATAAGGCTGACCTGATCCAGACCTGTGTTGGCCATAGCTGGAAGACTGACCTGAGCCATACCCATGTTGACCACAGCTGGAAGACTGGCCTGAGCCAGAACCATGTTAACCACAGCTAGAAGACTGACCTGAGCCAGAGCCATGTTGACTATGGTGAGAGGCAGATTTGTGTTGGCCACAGCTAGAAGACTGACCTGAGCCAGAGCCATGTTGACTATGGTGAGAGGCAGATTTGTGTTGGCCACAGCTAGAAGACTGACCTGAGCCAGAGCCATGTTGACTATGGTGAGAGGCAGATTTGTGTTGGCCACAGCTAGAAGACTGACCTGAGCCAGAGCCATGTTGACTATGGTGAGAGGCAGATTTGTGTTGGCCACAGCTAGAAGACTGACCTGAGCCAGAGCCATGTTGACTATGGTGAGAGGCAGATTTGTGTTGGCCACAGCTAGAAGACTGACCTGAGCCAGAGCCATGTTGACTATGGTGAGAGGCAGATTTGTGTTGGCCACAGCTAGAAGACTGACCTGAGCCAGAGCCATGTTGACTATGGTGAGAGGCAGATTTGTGTTGGCCACAGCTAGAAGACTGACCTGAGCCAGAGCCATGTTGACTATGGTGAGAGGCAGATTTGTGTTGGCCACAGCTAGAAGACTGACCTGAGCCAGAGCCATGTTGACTATGGTGAGAGGCAGATTTGTGTTGGCCACAGCTAGAAGACTGACCTGAGCCAGAGCCATGTTGACTATGGTGAGAGGCAGATTTGTGTTGGCCACAGCTAGAAGACTGACCTGAGCCAGAGCCATGTTGACTATGGTGAGAGGCAGATTTGTGTTGGCCACAGCTAGAAGACTGACCTGAGCCAGAGCCATGTTGACTATGGTGAGAGGCAGATTTGTGTTGGCCACAGCTAGAAGACTGACCTGAGCCAGAGCCATGTTGACTATGGTGAGAGGCAGATTTGTGTTGGCCACAGCTAGAAGACTGACCTGAGCCAGAGCCATGTTGACTATGGTGAGAGGCAGATTTGTGTTGGCCACAGCTAGAAGACTGACCTGAGCCAGAGCCATGTTGACTATGGTGAGAGGCAGATTTGTGTTGGCCACAGCTAGAAGACTGACCTGAGCCAGAGCCATGTTGACTATGGTGAGAGGCAGATTTGTGTTGGCCACAGCTAGAAGACTGACCTGAGCCAGAGCCATGTTGACTATGGTGAGAGGCAGATTTGTGTTGGCCACAGCTAGAAGACTGACCTGAGCCAGAGCCATGTTGACTATGGTGAGAGGCAGATTTGTGTTGGCCACAGCTAGAAGACTGACCTGAGCCAGAGCCATGTTGACTATGGTGAGAGGCAGATTTGTGTTGGCCACAGCTAGAAGACTGACCTGAGCCAGAGCCATGTTGACTATGGTGAGAGGCAGATTTGTGTTGGCCACAGCTAGAAGACTGACCTGAGCCAGAGCCATGTTGACTATGGTGAGAGGCAGATTTGTGTTGGCCACAGCTAGAAGACTGACCTGAGCCAGAGCCATGTTGACTATGGTGAGAGGCAGATTTGTGTTGGCCACAGCTAGAAGACTGACCTGAGCCAGAGCCATGTTGACTATGGTGAGAGGCAGATTTGTGTTGGCCACAGCTAGAAGACTGACCTGAGCCAGAGCCATGTTGACTATGGTGAGAGGCAGATTTGTGTTGGCCACAGCTAGAAGACTGACCTGAGCCAGAGCCATGTTGACTATGGTGAGAGGCAGATTTGTGTTGGCCACAGCTAGAAGACTGACCTGAGCCAGAGCCATGTTGACTATGGTGAGAGGCAGATTTGTGTTGGCCACAGCTAGAAGACTGACCTGAGCCAGAGCCATGTTGACTATGGTGAGAGGCAGATTTGTGTTGGCCACAGCTAGAAGACTGACCTGAGCCATACCCATGTTGACCATAGCTAGAGGACTGACCTGAGCCAGACCCATGTTTACGATAGCTAGAAGACTGACATGAGTTAGATCCATGGTGTCCAAAGTTTGATGACTGTCCTGAAGTAGAACCATGTTGTCCATAACTAGAGGATTGACCTGATCCAAATCCATGTTGCCCAAAGCCAGAAGATTGACCTGAGCTACGTCTGTGTTGTCCACAGCCAGAGGATGGACCTGATCCAGACCTATATTGGCTATGGCTAGAAGACTGACTTGAGCCAGACCTGTGTCGGCCATAGCCAGAGGATTGACCTGATCCAGACCTATGTCGGCTATGGCTAGAAGACTGACCTGAGCCAGACCTCTGTCGGCCATAGCCAGAGGTTTGACCTGATTCAGACCCATGTTGTTCATAGCTGGAAGCCTGGCCTAATCCTGATCCATGTTGGCCATAGCTAGAAGACTGACCTGAGCCTGACCCATGTCGGCTGTGGCTAGAAGACTGACTTGATCCAGACCCATGTTGACCATAGCTGGAAGACTGGCCTGAGCTAGTTCCATGGTGTCCAAAGTTTGATGACTGCCTTGAAGTAGAACTATGTTGTCCATAACTAGAGGATTGACCTAAACCAGACCCATGTTGCCCAAAGCCAGAAGACTGACCAAACCCAGGTCCATGTTGTCCACAGCTTGATGACTCACCTAAACTGGATTCTGAACTAGGCTCATGGTACCTCTGACTAGAAGATTGATTAGAGCCAGATCCATATTTTCCATAATTAGAGGATTGTCCTGATCCAGAGCCATGCTTTTGTCTTTCACGGCTCCCTGACTGACCACTTGAGTGGGATCCATGTCTTCTTTGACTAGAGGACTGACCTGAGCCAGACTCATGACCATAACCAGTGGGCTCATTTGAATTTGACCAGTGGTCTTGTCCTCCACAACTCCCTGAGCTGAATCCATGATGTTGATTGGATTTCTTCTCCTGTAGTCTATTTCCTAAAGATTCATTTGAGTGAGACCTATGTTGGTCAGAACTGAAAGACCGATCCTCTGAGTGGGAACCATGCCCTTGTTCTCCACAACCGCCTGACTGATTTGCTGAGTGTGATCTTTTTCTATAGTTATTTGACTGAGTATAACCATCTTCTTCACTCCTAGACCTTTCTTGCTGATGAGAGCCATACTTATTTTTCTTATTATCCTTGAAGTGGCCCGAGCTTGACTCTCTCCATCTTTCCCCAGAGCTTTGCCTGTGTCCCAAATTAGACGAACCTCCTTGATGCCCAATTCTTCTGGAGCTGGATTGAGGCCTGTGTTTAATGCGTCCTCTGGAGCCCCTGGAATAGGAATCATTCTCTCCTGCACTCCAACTTGAATGGCTGGAAGACGATTCTAGCCCGTTGTCCTTCTCTTCTGTTTCACTATGTTCCTCTTGGTGCTGGTGACTGTGATCTTTTTGCTTTGACCCTGAAGCTTGGCAGTAATCTTTGCCGATGATTTTATTACAGGCCTGAGCCAGCTGGAATATCATCAGAAGATACTCAGTAAAATCCACTTTCTTGTTATGGTCTCGATCCAGACTTTGCATGATGATATTTACAGTGTCTGGATCATCTGGATTCTGTATAGGAACAAGATACAAAGGGCAGCTCTGTCAATATGGACCACACACCCAGCTAACCAATTGAAGAAAGGCTGTAGAAATATGAATGCTTAGCTTACATAGGTTAAACCACATAGTCCTTTAGGCTGGACTGTGCTATCTTGAGCACGAGAGAAGGAAATATACAATGAATAATGCAGTGAGAAATAGATAGAAGAATATGCAACAGGAAGATTATTTTTTTGTAAGGAATGGGTCAAATATAAATGATTAGCTAATTTATAAATAATAATTTTGGATACCTATATTATATATGAATTTTCTTTATTTGTCCAGCTTAATTCATTAACTCATTAATTCATTTACTCATTTAACAGATTTATTTTGCACCTACTATCTGCCTCTCATTCAGTTAGGTGCAATGAACAAGTTTGGTTCTTGACAAAATGGAACTTAAAGTCTAGTGGGCCAGACACACAAACTTAAAAATCAGTTTATTGTGATGTTTCTATGAGAATACACCAGAGGGGAGCCATTAGGGGTTCAAGGAAGTTTAATGAGGGGAAATGATGTCTTTTGAAGGATTGGTTGGACCCAGGTAGAGGGAACAATATGAACAAAGATCTGGAGGTAAGAGAAGACATGGCTCATATAGAAAGAACGGAAAGAATTGCTAAATTTAGAGTCTCAGCAGTCAAGAGACGTGACTAGAGAGGTAAATATGGAGCAAATCATGCCTTTGAAGTTATGTTAAGTAACTTTGGACTTTATTTTAAGAACTGGTAGCTATTGAAGGATTTTGAAATGAGTGTGAAATGATTAGATTTGTATCTAATGCTGAGATTGGAAGTAAGAAATGGCTTGAACCAGCAATAGTGATGGGGAGAAATGGGCTGATTGAGAGACTATTGATGAATTTGATGGAAGTTGGAGGATGGAGCATGCTGAGAGAGGAAATTAAAATGGCACCAGTTTTCTGCTTTGGGCACACAGGAGAAGGAGAGTTTAGTTTTGTATCTGACACACTGAATTTGAGACATTGATAGGAATCCAAATGAAAATATTTAGTATGTAGCTGGATTCAGTGAGTTGGAGATCAAGAACAACATCTAAGCTCCCAGATATTTATTTCCAGAACTGACATTTTAAGGTGGTGGTCACCCTCTTTCATGATTTAGGAGTAAGATGCTAATTTCTTGAACTCAAAGGCTTTATAGTGTCAGCATCTCAGAAATGGGCTGTGGTCAGGATATTTTGGGCAGAAGAAAGACAAAGAAAGGGAAGAAGATACATTTTACCTACTTTTCAGTTTTTCCGAGGACCATCTCAGTTGTTGTTCCAGAAGAATTACTCACTTAGGACATTTAATCTATGAATTTTTGTCTTTTTTTTTTTTTTAAAAAAAAATTGGATCACTTTTCTTGTTCATGTTATAGAAACCATTATGGGGTCAACTTTTGACTTTGTTTTAAGCCTTTACCAAACCCTGTTCTCTATTACTAAGTAGGGAGAGTCCTCTAGAAATTTGACCTATGTGACAAAAGGTAGAAAGGGAGAAGAAGGGAATTGCAGTGTTTTAGTCCTGATATGGAGTTCTTACCTTCATAATTTGACGGAATTCATTTTCCAAAAATACTTTCATTTCTGCCTTGTTCAACATGGCACACTCCTCATCCTTGGTGGCATATTGGTAGAAAACATCGATGACGGTGACAATGCCTTGTAGGAGTTTAGGCATCTTTTTGGAGATTTAATTAACCTAAAAGGGAAGGAAAGGAGAGACCCACCTCTTATTGTTCCTTTTTCTTGCTTAAATACATAAGTAGTCTCAATTATTTGTAAAAATTATTCAGAATTAATGAGGGATGATTAATTCTGTTATGATCAAGAGCCAATCCAGAGTTAAATGACTTGTTTAAGTCAAATAGCAAGAAAGTGATGAAATTAGGAACAGAAACTATATCTCATATTTCCATTCCTGAATGAATATAGGAGTGGTGACTTCCTTTTTTGGTCTCTTTGCCTCTACCAGGGATAATTTTATGAACTTTGTTCTGGAGCTGTAGAAGTCCTGGGTGTGCCAATCCATCCATTTCCTCAGTTCCTTTCTAGTTCTCAACCATCACACTAGGGAAGGACAAGTCTATTATCTACATGGCATGCCTGACTCCAACTAAGGAGTATCAGGGTCTAAACTAGACCCTCCAGACTTCTAGGCCAGAGAAAGTAAATAAAGTGAGCAAAGACAACAACAGGCCTAGGTGATATGGAGCTGGGGCAGCTGCTATCAGGCTCAGCTTCTGTTTTCATTCTCCAAGAGAGGCTGACCCCAGGCTTTACTGATTAGACAACAGATAGAAAAAGCTCAGTAAGTAAAGGAGGCAATCTGCCTACTGGATAATTTGAGCCCAAAATGGTTAAGGAAATGACCCCAAAGAAAGCTGATACTATCAGTCTCCAGTTATTTCTTCATCTTTTTTTCTTGATAAAGTTAAACTTATACCAAAGTTCTCCAAAGTATATTCAAAGGAAGCCTGGTACCCAGGGCCTCTTTGCCTTAGAGCACATCCCAGATTCTCATAACTTATAGCTCTAAATACTGCTTACTTACCTAGTTCACCAGAGGAACAAGTAGGATAGAGGCTGAAGCAGCTTACAGGGTGCTGCTAGTTGCGGATAGTGGCCTTTTTATAGAGGGAGTAATGGTCCATCTTAGGGAGGAGCTGCTCCCTCTGAGATGTCCTAATTTACTCTCAAATAAGCCCAGCTCCACCTCCATCTCCACCTCCTAGTGTTTATCTTCTTACTTCCTTACTTGTTCACCTGAGATTGCATTAGCAGTTCCCAAATCTGGGCGAGTACCAGCTCCACCTGTCAGTCTCTGGACACTGAAGAAAGACCTTTTGCATATTCAATGAAGTAACTAGCATAATGCATTGATAACAAATTATGTGGACTTTAACTGAAGTTGAGTGGAATGTCTGCAGGGACATCAGGGAACAAATGTCAAAGAGTCATGGAATCTGATTTTTAAAAGGAAGCTTAAAGATCATGTGATCAAAATTTTTTTTTTTAAAGCTAAATTTTCTTATGTAGGATTCCAGCCAAGGTGTACCCATGGTATTATTACCTCTTGAAATAGATAATGGCGGCAGAGGCCCTCTTGTTTCTTTACCCAACTCTGTTTACCAGACTTTAGTGGCCTTTTGTCAATGTAGCTTTCTTTTCAGCCACTATATAACCTTAAGAAGAGATGCATGCTCTTTAGCATAGTATTCAAGGTTCCTCATGATCTGGGCTGTGGCTTCTCTCTAGCCCCATCTTCTCTCTCCCTCTTCCTCTTAATGCTCTACCAGTGATCAACTACTTAAATTTCCTGAAAATAACATACTATTTCATGTTTTTTCTTGGAATATCTTTTCTCATTATGTGCCTAGTGAACTCCTATTCATTCTAAAAAACCCACATTAGACACCCTGTAAAAACTCTGTCTTGAATTACTCGAGAGTTATAATTGTGTACCTTATTCATAAGTCTATTGTAGTATCAATCAAACTATATTATAATCTTCTAAAATAGTCTTACTATGAAATTAATGTTTAATACAAAAATTGGAAAATATAGATGAACAAAGAAAAGAAAGTGAAAATACCTATAATCCTATTACCCAGAAATAGGTACTCTTAATTATTTGGTTTATATCCTGAAATACACACACACACACACACACACATGTCTATTTGCCTAGATCATTTCTGGACTATGAGCTTGAGAATAGGGAATGGGCATCATTATTTCTTATGTCATTTGGAGACTAAGCAAATTGCTTGGCAATAAAGGTCCCCAATAAATGTTCGTCAAATTGAATTGAATTGAAAGAGGAGTGAGGACCATGACTACAGTGATCTTCATTGATCAACTTATACTTTTTCACAGGACTAGGGTCTGCCCTCTCTCTTGCTATTGTTACTTCAGAGGACATTATTTCACCTGAATATAGACTGAATCAGCATTGGAATCCACGAGTGCCTTTCTGCTTATCTCTGAGGTCCTTGCTCTGCACTCCATCATTGTGAGCATGTAACACAAATTTCACTAAAGCCGAGTGAAATTACATAGACTTAAACTTTTGCAACACAACCATCAGAATTTTGGGAGGAGTGGTAGCAATTATTGGCAAATGATAAATCACATGATTCAAAATTCAACCATTATTATGCTATATGTTTTCTTCTAAGAACCACCCAGAGGGCTGCAGAGTCAGTACCCATACAGTGCCCTGTTTCCTCTGGACACCTGATTTGGGTCAGGTCATCATACTTCATCAGAGGAAAGAGCTTTTCAAAGGTGTGACTGAGACTGTGGGAGTGCAAGGGAGGTGGAATTTGCTAAGTGAAGACTAATTCCCTGCAGGAGCCGGCTATTGCCAAAGAGGAAGGACAAGGTGAGGGTGAGGTGAAGACTACTCCAGGCGGACATGCTCTTGGGATGAGTGTTCTCCTGAATTAGGGGCCAGCAAACTTTTTCTGTAAAGGACTAGAGAGTAAGTATTATAGGCTTTGCGGGCCAAATGGACCTAGTTACAACTATTGAACTCTGTTCTTGTAGCGTGAAAGCAGCCATAGGTGATATGTAAATGAATGAGCATGGCTGTGTTTCAATAAAACTTACTTATCGACACTGACCTTTAAATTTCATATAACTTCACATAATTTTTTTCAACCACTGTAGAAAACATTTATAGCTTGTGGGCCTCCAAAAATTGGCGATGAGCTAGGTATGGCTTGTGAGCTGTAGTTTGCCACCCCTGGCCTCTTCTGTATTTGCTTGTCAGGAAGACTTGCCAGGAAAGGAGAATCTGAGGGAAGAGAAGTGCTGGGAAGTGTGGGATATCAGAATCAATAATTCTTGTGTGAGAGAAAAGGTGCATGTCTGAGAATGTTGGCGTGTCTGAGGTGGTAGGTAAAGGAAACAGAACAAGGGGCCTTTGGGTGCTCATAAGAGTGAGGTAAATTTTGACTTGCTGTGAGTAAGAAATTTTTAACATCTGCGTTGGCTGAAAATGCAATGAGCTCTTTGCAGAGTAATTGAGTTTATTATCTGGAATATTGTAGAAACTTTCATTTCTCATGTAAGCAGTTTTAATCCTTTCAGTGTTTTGTTTTCTGAATATTCTCCAATGTCACCAAAGTTTTGTTGAGCTTTATTTCTTGGTTTGTGTCACAAAAACAAGAAGCATGTTTAATGTACTTTTGGCCTCTCCTCTCCCTTTTGAGAATTACTAGTGTAAGAGTTGGAGTCGATAACCACAAAGGTCCTTTCCAAAACTGAGAATCATGATTTTACCAGAACATGTGTCCCACAGTCATAGGGTGGACGTGAAGACCCCTTTCATAAGTTTGGTTAGTGGTTTTTCCCTTGGAGATGACAGGGTTCAGGAGAAGAGATTTCTTATGGTATGTGTTACATTCTAGGTTTTTCAGTGCCACCATGTGTTGGCAGAAGAAAGGAAGTTGCATTCTCCATTATGCCAAACACAGTGCTCTGTGGGCTTAAGTATATCATTTTATTAATTCTCACAACAGCCATATGTTGTAGGTATTATTCCCTCCATTTTTCAGATGAGAAAACTGAGGCCTAGAGAAATTATGAAACTTGTTTCAAGTCACTTAGCAGTTAAGTGGAGAAGACAATGTTCAAACTCAGATCTGCTTCTGTCTAGGAATAGCCAGGGAGTAGAGATTATTCATGCAAAAGGCAAGAGGGTTGGGGGACAGTTTTTGAGGAATGGAGTGTTTGACCTGAAGAGAAAACCAACCAACTAACCAACCAACCAATCAACCAACCAAAATTAGTAAAGATAAACTGTGAAGTTCCCTTCCACAGCTGTTTTCACTTGTGCTTGTCTAAAAGGCAGGGTAGTGTTCCTATAGTGCCATCTGGTGGCCTATAGGGATATTGTACAGAAAGTCTTTTCTCCTTGACCTTTCTCTTTTCCCTCACTCCCCCCATGCAATTTCTTACAGTTCCATGAATGAGGAGAATATGCAAAAAAAAATAGGGACATAACAAGCAAAGAATGTTGGTTGTCATGATTTTTGGGTGAGTGGAGTCAAAAGAAGTTAGCTATAAAATAAAACTAGTCAGCAAGCATTACCTTCCTTATCCTTCTCACCAGGTACAAGGGTCATTTTTTCTTTTATTTCAAAAAAAAAATAAAAAATGGATCTGATGTAATTTTATATCTTAGCATTGGGGGAGGGAGTTGCGGCAGGCATGATGATACATCTTTCAGCTCCAGACCCAAGCCCTGGAATATACTCTGCTTGGGTACTGGTCTTCCTATTCAGTTGTTTCTCTTTGTATTCTTAGTATTCTTTCTTTTCTCCTCCAAGACCTCAAAAATGCCCAGATGCTAGGAATCCATAACTTATTCTTACTTGTATACTCTTACTTACTTTGTTGACAGCTTTCTCTTTCCACCTCCTTAACTTGCTGCTTGATGCTCTTATTACCATGGCCCTTCATGGCTTGTATTCCTTGGTTCCTACTTTATTGAGGCTTTCTGCATGCAGGACTTAAAGTGGGAAGATTGAGGAGATTGGTTGGAAATATTCCCCAGGGACCATAAAATATTATAGAGGTAGTACAAAAGACCTGCTTGCATGGGAGATATCAGAGAGGACTTCAGAGCCACACAACTTAGTCTGTCCAAGATTCTGCAGCGAGGCCAAGTTCAGCAGGGTGTGGCTGCTGGGGAGGGTTGGGCTAATGGATCTCCCATGATGGGGAGGTGCTAGTCAGGCTTGAGGGAAGGTTGGAGGAGTGTTGCCCACCCCAGAGACACACAACTTAGTCCATCCCAGATTCTTCCCAGAACTTGGCAGGGAGGAGGGGGCAGGCACCAGGAGTCAGGAGGCTGAGATTGCTGGGAGCCTTGGGAGTGGGCCTAGCAGATGTCCTGTGACGGGGAGATTCACAGGAAAGTGGGGTCAATATCCCCTCCCCCAAAGTCACACCACTCAGTCACAGACACCTCCTGAGTCTGGCCAGACCTTTACATCCCAGCCCAGGCAGCTAACTCTTCAGCAGGGCATGACTCCATAGGGTGGGGCAACAGGGAGTTCAAAGGGTGGGGCTATTACATTTCCCTAGGTCAAGGGTGGGCAACCCCTGGCACGCATACCAAACATGGCATGCCAGTAACTTTTGCTGGCACGAGAAACCCTCTCTTATAATCTTCCATTTACAATTGTGAATCTTTGTTCTCAGTGATGAATTTTGTTAAGTCTCGTAATAGGAGTAGCCTGACGGATGAAAGTAGTAGCTCCTGCATATCTCTGAAGGTCACAAAATATAAACCTGATGTAAAATCTCTGTCATCAGTGATGCAGCAGCAAAAGTCCCACTGATAATATCAAATGGAGTCATAAACTTTTCTGGCGGACTATCAGTGTGCATGTATACATTAAAAAATAAATGTATTTTTCATCATCATAAACTGTGTTTTTGTCACTCGAATGAATTTTATTATTTCTTCAAGGTTCTTCACATAGGTACACCTTAAGAGATATCAAGTAGGCGTAACATGTTCTCAAAAAATTAGGGTTGGCACGCAGAAGAATTTTGAGTCAGAGATTTTGCTGGTTTTGGCACGCACTCACAAAAAGGTTGCCCACCCCCGCCCTAGGTTAATTCCATAGAAAATGAGTGCTCCACCCAAGTAAGATGGTTTCTGTCGTGTGGTAGAGGAACTCAACACAGGGGTCCTGCTGGCTGTCCCTTCAGTGCTCTCCCCAGAGTCACAAACCCCAGTCTCTACTCACATGACCTTAGTCTGCTCTGCCCTCCCTCCACTGGAGCACAGGGTGAATGGCTGCAAATGAGATTTTGTGTTTTGGCTCTTTAGGAGGGTACCTGTGTCTCTAGCAGACTCCTATCTCTCCCTGGCAGACAGAATCCCTGCTGATTTTCACAGCCAGATGTTATGTGGGTACCTTTTTGTATATTGATTTTGTATATGCAACTTTACTGTGTTTGTTTATTGTTTCTAATAGTTTTTTTTGGTGGATTTTTTAGGGTTTTCTATATATAGAATCATTTCATCTGCAAATAATGACAGTTTTACTTCTCCATTTGGGTGCTTTTTATTTCTTTTTCTTGCTTAATTGCTCTGGTTAGGACTTCTAGTACTGTGTTGAATAATAGTGGCAAAAATGAGCATCCTTGTTCCTAATCTTAGAAGAAAAGCTTTCAGTTTTTTACCATTGAGTATAATATTAGCTAGGGTTTGTCATATATGGCCTTTATTATGTTGGTACTTTCCTTCTATGCCTATTTTATTGAGTGTTTTTTTAAAGTCATAAATGGATGTTGTATCTTGTCATTATGCTAATTGAAATAAGCCAGTCACAAGAAGAGAAATATTTTATGATTTCATTTATATGAAATATCCAAAGTAGTCAAATTAGTAGAATCAGAAAGTAGAGTGGTGGTTGCTAGGGGGTAGGGAAAGGGGAAATAAGGAATTTTTGTTTAATGGATATAAAGATTCAGTTGGGCAAGATGAAAAAAATTTGGAGATTAGTTGTGCCACACTGTGAATATACTTACCTCTACTGAACTGTGCATGAAAATAATTGATTAACATGTGAGGGAGTGTATGGTAATTTTGTTCTTGAGTGGACAGGGATATGAAAGAAAACAATTTCAGTTGTTTGTTTATGAGTTCTTTACAAAACATTGAGAGTTTTGCCTAGAGGTGTATTCATCTGGCTATCTCTGTTGTAAGGTCAGTCAGTGTCTTTCCATCAGTACTTCCTACCTTGGGTAGCCAGGTCTGCACTGTCTCTCTCATTCTAACTTTTATCTTCAGCCTGTCAGTTAGGCCTGACTCCTCTAGAGAAAGAAGGGTCTCAGGCGGTAGCTGAAGTAGCTGGTTGTGAGTCTGTAGGCAAGGTGACAAATAGTGACTCATAAGAGAGGCGGTGTCTCCATATCTGTGTCAGTGACAACTCAATGAGATCGGCGGGTTTGGCACCTTGTATGGGAATTTAGGAACAGAACTTTAAGCGGGGAAGCAGGGGACCAGTGGGTGGATCAGATCCCCATTGAGTGGCTTGTCGAGCACAAACATAGACATGATATTGTTTGAGGCTAATGAGAAAAATGAAGTTGTTGCTTTTTATTTACTCCCTTATCCACATTGGGGATCATTTAAACTTTGACAGTTAATTTCACTTTAGCTTGATTTATTTAAGCAATAGTGAAAAAAAGACAGCTTTTGTAAGTGTGCTTATAAAACCACTAAGCAGAGAGTTAAAAGACTTGAGCTATTTTGGTGCAGACTATTTGTGTGATGGACTCATCTGCTAAATGTGAACAATGGTCTAGCTAGTCTCTGAATCCCTGCTGGTCTCCTATTACAAAGAAGGAACCTAGGTAACAATTCACACAGAGGGATTTTCCTTCTAATGAAAGAATTTTGTTCACATAGCTCCTATTTTTTCCTTTATCGCTTTATCCACTGGACTAACTCATGAAATACATGAGTTTTCTTTCCAGGAAGGAGAACGTTTTCTTTATTGATTTCCCTTTGTCAAGATATTTTAGCACAATTTTTCTGCTCTCATTAGTCTTCATTAGAAAACATTTCCTAGTGTCTTGGAAGCAGGTCTTATGGACAGTAGTTTGTGCTTCCCGATCTTGGTTTGGCTTGGATAATAGCCATCTGGGTTGATGTTTTGATAATAATTATGATTCTATTAGCAATTGAGATAAACCTTTTTCCATCCTGTAGGTGACAATGTGGAACAATGATTATGTTACAGAAAAACATAGGATTTGATTAAATACTTTCTTCTTTAGACTCCTTAATATTTTTGCATGCTGTGTAACTAGGGTTTGGTCATACAGGTTGCTAGTGATGAAGAAAAGATGTAATTCAGGCCATTGGGAAGAAAGTCTTTCGGGGTTTATGAGAAATAAGCATAGAAGACACAAATTATGGTATATGATCAATTGTTTATTTTCAGTTTTTATGCAATTTACTTTTATGAATTCTATATGCTGAAAGGTGATTTTAATGAATACAGAATAATACACAGTTCCAATAGATGCATAATAGAGGCACATGTACTGAGCCATGATAGTAGTATAGCAGCTATGGACTCTGGAACTATGTTTCTATAATTTTGACTCCACTTTTTATTTTTGGCAAAGATTACAGTATGAAATCGAACAGGTTCTAAATTTTAATCCCTCAAAAAATGGTTACATAAACCCGTCTACCAAAATACTCATACATTTCATAATTTATCTGTCCATAACATTGCTTTCTTCCATTCACCATTTTATAGTCATAAAGATAAAACCTTCCCAGAGAATGAGAAGAAACCATCACCAAGGTAGAGAAATAGGATAATATGTTAAAAAGATAATAGAAGATAACCTCTGTGAAAGTATAAAGAAACATTCTTGATTCAAATTTGTGTTGTTCCTTCTCATACTCTTTGAATTAATTATATTTCTATTGTCTCTCACTCATAATAATAGTGTTGTTGAGACTGACAAAATCCCAGCTGCTTTAAACTATCACTCGACTGACCATATTTCACAGGGTTTATATAACTGTCTGATGTATTGGACCTTGAAAAGTCTTCTCCCTATAGAGGTGTGGCTCTAAATCCCACATGACTGGATTTAGGTCTTCCAGCCTTGGTATCACTGGCCTGAATAATATTCAGTCCATGGTGTCTACTGTAACCAGAATGAGATGAAATATCTCCATGTACATTCCTAGAGTATCTGGAGCTATCTGCTGCCTGTTCAAGGTGGTGTCCCTGTCTATGTGTACTGCTGGTTCCTGACTGACCATGAGAAGATACGGACTGCCTGTGGGTGGATATTTGCCCTTCAGGAGACCCCGAGTGCCTAGGGCTGTCTCCTGATTGTCCATGGGCAGATGCATGCTGAAGGGTTGAACTGGACCCACTCCCAACACCGGTCAAGGAGGAGGGTCTACTTGAATTTTCGCTGTCGCTGGCCTGACTGCTGCTAGACCCCCGATGTCTGGTTGTCCTGGATCCTGAAGACGATGCTCCGTGTCCAGTGCCCGAGTGTCGGGGGCTGTCAGGTGAGTGCTCATGCGGGGATTGTTGTCTTCCTCTTGAGCTCGATCCTGACTGCCCATGGGATGAGGCGTGGTGTCCTCGAGAGGATGTCTCTGCATGATGTGAGCCTGATTGTCTAGAGGTGTCTGCAGACCGTCCATGACTAGATCCCTGTCTTCTTCTGGCACCAGAGCCTGAGTGTCCCTGGGTGTGCTCAGAGTGCCCATGCTGGGCCTGCTGCCCTCGATGGGTACCAGAGTGTCCAGAACCGTGTCCTGCCTGGTCATGGGTAGACCCATGGTGGTGTGCGGAACTGGATCCAGCCCTGTCGTGGGTTGAGCCAGATTGTCTACCTGCATGTTCAGACTGTCCTTCGCTGTCGCTGGCCTGACTGCTGCTGGACCCCCGATGTCTGGTTGTCCTGGATCCTGAAGACGATGCTCCGTGTCCAGTGCCCGAGTGTCGGGGGCTGTCAGGTGAGTGCTCATGCGGGGATTGTTGTCTTCCTCTTGAGCTCGATCCTGACTGCCCATGGGATGAGGCGTGGTGTCCTCGAGAGGATGTCTCTGCATGATGTGAGCCTGATTGTCTAGAGGTGTCTGCAGACCGTCCATGACTAGATCCCTGTCTTCTTCTGGCACCAGAGCCTGAGTGTCCCTGGGTGTGCTCAGAGTGCCCATGCTGGGCCTGCTGCCCTCGATGGGTACCAGAGTGTCCAGAACCGTGTCCTGCCTGGTCATGGGTAGACCCATGGTGGTGTGCGGAACTGGATCCAGCCCTGTCGTGGGTTGAGCCAGATTGTCTACCTGCATGTTCAGACTGTCCTTCGCTGTCGCTGGCCTGACTGCTGCTGGACCCCCGATGTCTGGTTGTCCTGGATCCTGAAGACGATGCTCCGTGTCCAGTGCCCGAGTGTCGGGGGCTGTCAGGTGAGTGCTCATGCGGGGATTGTTGTCTTCCTCTTGAGCTCGATCCTGACTGCCCATGGGATGAGGCGTGGTGTCCTCGAGAGGATGTCTCTGCATGATGTGAGCCTGATTGTCTAGAGGTGTCTGCAGACCGTCCATGACTAGATCCCTGTCTTCTTCTGGCACCAGAGCCTGAGTGTCCCTGGGTGTGCTCAGAGTGCCCATGCTGGGCCTGCTGCCCTCGATGGGTACCAGAGTGTCCAGAACCGTGTCCTGCCTGGTCATGGGTAGACCCATGGTGGTGTGCGGAACTGGATCCAGCCCTGTCGTGGGTTGAGCCAGATTGTCTACCTGCATGTTCAGACTGTCCTTCGCTGTCGCTGGCCTGACTGCTGCTGGACCCCCGATGTCTGGTTGTCCTGGATCCTGAAGACGATGCTCCGTGTCCAGTGCCCGAGTGTCGGGGGCTGTCAGGTGAGTGCTCATGCGGGGATTGTTGTCTTCCTCTTGAGCTCGATCCTGACTGCCCATGGGATGAGGCGTGGTGTCCTCGAGAGGATGTCTCTGCATGATGTGAGCCTGATTGTCTAGAGGTGTCTGCAGACCGTCCATGACTAGATCCCTGTCTTCTTCTGGCACCAGAGCCTGAGTGTCCCTGGGTGTGCTCAGAGTGCCCATGCTGGGCCTGCTGCCCTCGATGGGTACCAGAGTGTCCAGAACCGTGTCCTGCCTGGTCATGGGTAGACCCATGGTGGTGTGCGGAACTGGATCCAGCCCTGTCGTGGGTTGAGCCAGATTGTCTACCTGCATGTTCAGACTGTCCTTCGCTGTCGCTGGCCTGACTGCTGCTGGACCCCCGATGTCTGGTTGTCCTGGATCCTGAAGACGATGCTCCGTGTCCAGTGCCCGAGTGTCGGGGGCTGTCAGGTGAGTGCTCATGCGGGGATTGTTGTCTTCCTCTTGAGCTCGATCCTGACTGCCCATGGGATGAGGCGTGGTGTCCTCGAGAGGATGTCTCTGCATGATGTGAGCCTGATTGTCTAGAGGTGTCTGCAGACCGTCCATGACTAGATCCCTGTCTTCTTCTGGCACCAGAGCCTGAGTGTCCCTGGGTGTGCTCAGAGTGCCCATGCTGGGCCTGCTGCCCTCGATGGGTACCAGAGTGTCCAGAACCGTGTCCTGCCTGGTCATGGGTAGACCCATGGTGGTGTGCGGAACTGGATCCAGCCCTGTCGTGGGTTGAGCCAGATTGTCTACCTGCATGTTCAGACTGTCCTTCGCTGTCGCTGGCCTGACTGCTGCTGGACCCCCGATGTCTGGTTGTCCTGGATCCTGAAGACGATGCTCCGTGTCCAGTGCCCGAGTGTCGGGGGCTGTCAGGTGAGTGCTCATGCGGGGATTGTTGTCTTCCTCTTGAGCTCGATCCTGACTGCCCATGGGATGAGGCGTGGTGTCCTCGAGAGGATGTCTCTGCATGATGTGAGCCTGATTGTCTAGAGGTGTCTGCAGACCGTCCATGACTAGATCCCTGTCTTCTTCTGGCACCAGAGCCTGAGTGTCCCTGGGTGTGCTCAGAGTGCCCATGCTGGGCCTGCTGCCCTCGATGGGTACCAGAGTGTCCAGAACCGTGTCCTGCCTGGTCATGGGTAGACCCATGGTGGTGTGCGGAACTGGATCCAGCCCTGTCGTGGGTTGAGCCAGATTGTCTACCTGCATGTTCAGACTGTCCTTCGCTGTCGCTGGCCTGACTGCTGCTGGACCCCCGATGTCTGGTTGTCCTGGATCCTGAAGACGATGCTCCGTGTCCAGTGCCCGAGTGTCGGGGGCTGTCAGGTGAGTGCTCATGCGGGGATTGTTGTCTTCCTCTTGAGCTCGATCCTGACTGCCCATGGGATGAGGCGTGGTGTCCTCGAGAGGATGTCTCTGCATGATGTGAGCCTGATTGTCTAGAGGTGTCTGCAGACCGTCCATGACTAGATCCCTGTCTTCTTCTGGCACCAGAGCCTGAGTGTCCCTGGGTGTGCTCAGAGTGCCCATGCTGGGCCTGCTGCCCTCGATGGGTACCAGAGTGTCCAGAACCGTGTCCTGCCTGGTCATGGGTAGACCCATGGTGGTGTGCGGAACTGGATCCAGCCCTGTCGTGGGTTGAGCCAGATTGTCTACCTGCATGTTCAGACTGTCCTTCGCTGTCGCTGGCCTGACTGCTGCTGGACCCCCGATGTCTGGTTGTCCTGGATCCTGAAGACGATGCTCCGTGTCCAGTGCCCGAGTGTCGGGGGCTGTCAGGTGAGTGCTCATGCGGGGATTGTTGTCTTCCTCTTGAGCTCGATCCTGACTGCCCATGGGATGAGGCGTGGTGTCCTCGAGAGGATGTCTCTGCATGATGTGAGCCTGATTGTCTAGAGGTGTCTGCAGACCGTCCATGACTAGATCCCTGTCTTCTTCTGGCACCAGAGCCTGAGTGTCCCTGGGTGTGCTCAGAGTGCCCATGCTGGGCCTGCTGCCCTCGATGGGTACCAGAGTGTCCAGAACCGTGTCCTGCCTGGTCATGGGTAGACCCATGGTGGTGTGCGGAACTGGATCCAGCCCTGTCGTGGGTTGAGCCAGATTGTCTACCTGCATGTTCAGACTGTCCTTCGCTGTCGCTGGCCTGACTGCTGCTGGACCCCCGATGTCTGGTTGTCCTGGATCCTGAAGACGATGCTCCGTGTCCAGTGCCCGAGTGTCGGGGGCTGTCAGGTGAGTGCTCATGCGGGGATTGTTGTCTTCCTCTTGAGCTCGATCCTGACTGCCCATGGGATGAGGCGTGGTGTCCTCGAGAGGATGTCTCTGCATGATGTGAGCCTGATTGTCTAGAGGTGTCTGCAGACCGTCCATGACTAGATCCCTGTCTTCTTCTGGCACCAGAGCCTGAGTGTCCCTGGGTGTGCTCAGAGTGCCCATGCTGGGCCTGCTGCCCTCGATGGGTACCAGAGTGTCCAGAACCGTGTCCTGCCTGGTCATGGGTAGACCCATGGTGGTGTGCGGAACTGGATCCAGCCCTGTCGTGGGTTGAGCCAGATTGTCTACCTGCATGTTCAGACTGTCCTTCGCTGTCGCTGGCCTGACTGCTGCTGGACCCCCGATGTCTGGTTGTCCTGGATCCTGAAGACGATGCTCCGTGTCCAGTGCCCGAGTGTCGGGGGCTGTCAGGTGAGTGCTCATGCGGGGATTGTTGTCTTCCTCTTGAGCTCGATCCTGACTGCCCATGGGATGAGGCGTGGTGTCCTCGAGAGGATGTCTCTGCATGATGTGAGCCTGATTGTCTAGAGGTGTCTGCAGACCGTCCATGACTAGATCCCTGTCTTCTTCTGGCACCAGAGCCTGAGTGTCCCTGGGTGTGCTCAGAGTGCCCATGCTGGGCCTGCTGCCCTCGATGGGTACCAGAGTGTCCAGAACCGTGTCCTGCCTGGTCATGGGTAGACCCATGGTGGTGTGCGGAACTGGATCCAGCCCTGTCGTGGGTTGAGCCAGATTGTCTACCTGCATGTTCAGACTGTCCTTCGCTGTCGCTGGCCTGACTGCTGCTGGACCCCCGATGTCTGGTTGTCCTGGATCCTGAAGACGATGCTCCGTGTCCAGTGCCCGAGTGTCGGGGGCTGTCAGGTGAGTGCTCATGCGGGGATTGTTGTCTTCCTCTTGAGCTCGATCCTGACTGCCCATGGGATGAGGCGTGGTGTCCTCGAGAGGATGTCTCTGCATGATGTGAGCCTGATTGTCTAGAGGTGTCTGCAGACCGTCCATGACTAGATCCCTGTCTTCTTCTGGCACCAGAGCCTGAGTGTCCCTGGGTGTGCTCAGAGTGCCCATGCTGGGCCTGCTGCCCTCGATGGGTACCAGAGTGTCCAGAACCGTGTCCTGCCTGGTCATGGGTAGACCCATGGTGGTGTGCGGAACTGGATCCAGCCCTGTCGTGGGTTGAGCCAGATTGTCTACCTGCATGTTCAGACTGTCCTTCGCTGTCGCTGGCCTGACTGCTGCTGGACCCCCGATGTCTGGTTGTCCTGGATCCTGAAGACGATGCTCCGTGTCCAGTGCCCGAGTGTCGGGGGCTGTCAGGTGAGTGCTCATGCGGGGATTGTTGTCTTCCTCTTGAGCTCGATCCTGACTGCCCATGGGATGAGGCGTGGTGTCCTCGAGAGGATGTCTCTGCATGATGTGAGCCTGATTGTCTAGAGGTGTCTGCAGACCGTCCATGACTAGATCCCTGTCTTCTTCTGGCACCAGAGCCTGAGTGTCCCTGGGTGTGCTCAGAGTGCCCATGCTGGGCCTGCTGCCCTCGATGGGTACCAGAGTGTCCAGAACCGTGTCCTGCCTGGTCATGGGTAGACCCATGGTGGTGTGCGGAACTGGATCCAGCCCTGTCGTGGGTTGAGCCAGATTGTCTACCTGCATGTTCAGACTGTCCTTCGCTGTCGCTGGCCTGACTGCTGCTGGACCCCCGATGTCTGGTTGTCCTGGATCCTGAAGACGATGCTCCGTGTCCAGTGCCCGAGTGTCGGGGGCTGTCAGGTGAGTGCTCATGCGGGGATTGTTGTCTTCCTCTTGAGCTCGATCCTGACTGCCCATGGGATGAGGCGTGGTGTCCTCGAGAGGATGTCTCTGCATGATGTGAGCCTGATTGTCTAGAGGTGTCTGCAGACCGTCCATGACTAGATCCCTGTCTTCTTCTGGCACCAGAGCCTGAGTGTCCCTGGGTGTGCTCAGAGTGCCCATGCTGGGCCTGCTGCCCTCGATGGGTACCAGAGTGTCCAGAACCGTGTCCTGCCTGGTCATGGGTAGACCCATGGTGGTGTGCGGAACTGGATCCAGCCCTGTCGTGGGTTGAGCCAGATTGTCTACCTGCATGTTCAGACTGTCCTTCGCTGTCGCTGGCCTGACTGCTGCTGGACCCCCGATGTCTGGTTGTCCTGGATCCTGAAGACGATGCTCCGTGTCCAGTGCCCGAGTGTCGGGGGCTGTCAGGTGAGTGCTCATGCGGGGATTGTTGTCTTCCTCTTGAGCTCGATCCTGACTGCCCATGGGATGAGGCGTGGTGTCCTCGAGAGGATGTCTCTGCATGATGTGAGCCTGATTGTCTAGAGGTGTCTGCAGACCGTCCATGACTAGATCCCTGTCTTCTTCTGGCACCAGAGCCTGAGTGTCCCTGGGTGTGCTCAGAGTGCCCATGCTGGGCCTGCTGCCCTCGATGGGTACCAGAGTGTCCAGAACCGTGTCCTGCCTGGTCATGGGTAGACCCATGGTGGTGTGCGGAACTGGATCCAGCCCTGTCGTGGGTTGAGCCAGATTGTCTACCTGCATGTTCAGACTGTCCTTCGCTGTCGCTGGCCTGACTGCTGCTGGACCCCCGATGTCTGGTTGTCCTGGATCCTGAAGACGATGCTCCGTGTCCAGTGCCCGAGTGTCGGGGGCTGTCAGGTGAGTGCTCATGCGGGGATTGTTGTCTTCCTCTTGAGCTCGATCCTGACTGCCCATGGGATGAGGCGTGGTGTCCTCGAGAGGATGTCTCTGCATGATGTGAGCCTGATTGTCTAGAGGTGTCTGCAGACCGTCCATGACTAGATCCCTGTCTTCTTCTGGCACCAGAGCCTGAGTGTCCCTGGGTGTGCTCAGAGTGCCCATGCTGGGCCTGCTGCCCTCGATGGGTACCAGAGTGTCCAGAACCGTGTCCTGCCTGGTCATGGGTAGACCCATGGTGGTGTGCGGAACTGGATCCAGCCCTGTCGTGGGTTGAGCCAGATTGTCTACCTGCATGTTCAGACTGTCCTTCGCTGTCGCTGGCCTGACTGCTGCTGGACCCCCGATGTCTGGTTGTCCTGGATCCTGAAGACGATGCTCCGTGTCCAGTGCCCGAGTGTCGGGGGCTGTCAGGTGAGTGCTCATGCGGGGATTGTTGTCTTCCTCTTGAGCTCGATCCTGACTGCCCATGGGATGAGGCGTGGTGTCCTCGAGAGGATGTCTCTGCATGATGTGAGCCTGATTGTCTAGAGATGTCTGCAGACCGTCCATGTGTAGATCCCTGTCTTTTATTCACACTTTTGTCTGAATTTCCATGGATAGACTCAGGTGGCCCTTGATGGGCTGTCTGCCCTTGATGGGACCCAGAATATCCAGAGCTATCTCTTGACTGGCCACGGTCAGATCTATGATTGTTTCCTGAACCAGACTCTGATTGTGACCCTGAATCTTTTGAGTGTTCCTCGCTGTCACTGTTCTGATTATTGCTGGTCCCTAGGTATCTGACTATTTTGGCATTAGAGATGTAATGTTCATACTGATTTTGTGACTTTTTGTTCTTCTGAGATGTATATCTCTCCATTCTTAAACTTTCCTCTGTTGAATTTAACTCTAAATTTTCAGTATTTTTGTTTTTTCCCAATTGATTGTCCTTTTTCCTGTATATATTATCTTCACGTGCATATGAGTCACTATGTCTTGTTTTTTTCAATTTTGCACACAGTGATCCTGTGTTTTCATAATTAATTTCATCATCTTTGCCTTTATTTCCCCTGTTTGGGCTAACACTTGAGTGTTGCCTTCTTCCTTGTACTTCAGTAGAACTTGACCTACTTTTCCTTTTTCCTCTTTTGTCGTGATTTTTCTCCCCATATGTGTCTCTATGTCTGCAAGGAGATGTATCACCTTTTTTATTTTTTCTTTCAGAGCTAGACCCATGCCTTTTCCCCTCTCTTCCTCTTGGGCTTTTGGATCTTGCTTTTCCCCCTTTCCTGTCACTCTTTGAATGCCTGGATTTTCTCTCTCTATCCTCTTCCTCCTCTTTTTCCTTTATATCATGTTCTCCACCTTTCTTTTCGTGTCCCTTCTTTTTCTGCTTTTGTCCTGATGCTTGGAAATTTGGTCTCTTTTTAGAGTGATAGTATGCTTTAGCCAACTTGAATACCATCAGAAAAAATTCTTCAAAGTCTAATTTCTGGTTGTGGTCTATGTCAAGGATATCCATGAATACTTCAGCAGTGTCTGGGTCATCTGGATTCTGTACAGAATATATACAGAAGGGAGGGTCCATTAGGCAGACTCACATGGTCAAATAAATAATGCAAAGTCAATTTAGGGAATGTGAATTTTTGCTACTTAAATTGAAAGCAAATCAGGTGTTTTTTTCCTTAATATAGTTTAGCTTATTGTGACTCTGGAGAAAATGAGAGGTAATAGAGTAAAAGAAACAAATATTAAATACATGTGGTGACTTGAAGAGATTTGTTGGCCAAGTTCCTCTTTTTCCTACTTCAAATATCAAAATATTATAAAGCCAATAATTGAACTATCTTTAAACATACTATCTTAATGTTCATTATGTAGGAAGAATATTGTGAAGGTCTTACTAATTGGTATTTATTTCTTTGTCATTAAATATTCATATTATCATCCTTCATAGAGGGTATGTGTATGGTGGATATAAAGATATAAAGGGAGAAATCAAATTTATATCTGTTTTGAAATGCTGTCAATTCAATTTTGTGAGATTATTAATGAATCCTGAGGTGTTATACTCTAATCCTGGCAAATATCTTTACCTTCAGGATTGGGCGAATCTCTATTTCCAGAAGTTCCTTCAGCTCTTCTTTGCTCAGTGTGTCAGTTTCTTTGTCTGTTTTTGAATATTGTTGGAATAGGTCAATGATGGCAATGATGTTTTCCAGAAGAGTAGACATCCTTTGGAAATATAGGTGAACCTAGAAAGAAGAAATAAAAGTTTACTTTTCTTGTACTATTTTTTTTAGGTCATATCAATTATTATTGTGACTTTTCACATTTTAAACCTACATTATCTCCTAAAGTTCATCTTTTAAAATGGAAGTTAACTATGAAAACTTAGCTTTACTATGTGCATAGTGAAAATCAACCGAGAGTTTGAATGAATTATGAAACCTGTCTATTTCTTGTTCATGAACCTATTTATAGCAGTATTTAGATAGTCTCATAGACCTCACTGTTATATGGTGTCTGCAGACCGTCCATGACTAGATCCCTGTCTTCTTCTGGCATCAGAGCCTGAGTGTCCCTGGGTGTGCTCAGAGTGCCCATGCTGGGCTTGCTGCCCTCGATGGGTACCAGAGTGTCCAGAACTGTGTTCTGACTGGTCATCGGTAGACCCATGGTGGTGTGCGGAACTGGATCCAGCCCTGTCATGGGGCTGGATAAGACCATCCTTCTTGCCCATAGTAGGATAGTAGGAAGCCACTGATCAAAAGCAGCAGAATTTACTCATACCAATTTGCTGAAAAATCAATTCTCTAGAAGCAAATTTGCTAATTGATTAGAGAGATAATTTCCTGAAAGCCAAGTGACTGAGACTCTAATTGAACATTCTTTTTCTTTTCCCTAACAATTCATGATGGTTACAATTGCATGGTATGACTTTAATGGCTTTTCCATACTATAAACAATTTTTTGTTGACTGGCTTTTACTTTGCCACTTAGGAAATAGCATGGCATATAGAGTTTTGGAAATATTTTAGACCAATTAGAAATTTTGTGGTAAAGGAGATATTTGGGTTTAAAATGGAAAACCAGGAAGGAACTAACCTTATTGATTAGTTGAAGACTTTGAGGTAAAGGGAGTTGTGCAATGTATCTAACATGGGCATCCTTAGTGCTGCCACGGAGGCAGGAGAGGCTCCTGCCACTGCTGCTGCTCTTGAAGCCATTAGCCCAGCTTGTGGCTGAGCGGAGCTCCCCTTGAGGGAGCGCACTGACCACCAGGGGGCAGCTCCTGCGTTGAGCGTCTGCCTCCTGATGGTCAGTGTGTGTTATACCGACTGGTTGTTCCCGGTCGTTCCGCTGTTAGGGTCAATTTTCACATTTCCCTTTTATTATATAGGATGATCCTAGTTGAAAGCTCAGCAAGGCAGAAAGAATGAAGAAAAAGTAAAAGAGCAAATGTGTGGGGAAATAAAAATAGATAATGATTGCATAAAATCATCAGCAGCGGCATCATATCTTTCAGGATTTAGGATTGATAGAACTCAGATACCTAACAGTCCTATATAATAAAACCCTAATATGCAAATCAACTGAATGGTGGAATGACTGGTCACTATGATGAACACTGACCACCAGGGGGCAGACACTCAGGAGCTGCTCCCTGGTGGTCAGTGCACTCCCACAGGGGGAGCGCCGCTCAGCCAGAAGCTGGGCTCACAGCCGGCAAGCGCAGAGGTGGTGGCAGGAGCCTCTCCTGCCTCTGTAACAGTGCTAAGGAACAGCGAGCTGAGCAGTAAGGAGCAGCAAGTAAGCGGGCGGTAAGGAACAAGGAGTCCCAGAGTGTGAGAGGGACCCTGAACTGTGAGAGGGATGTCTGACTGCCAGCTTAGGCCTGGTTCCAGGCCTAAGTCAGACATCCCCCGAGGGGTCCCAGATTGTGAGAGGGCACAGGCCGGACTGATGGACCTCCCACCCCAGTGCATGAATTTCATGCACCGGGCCTCTAGTATCAGATAAGGCTAGAGCGGGTAAATGGAGTCCAAGTATTGTAGGATACTTGAATGTTTGAGTTTGGTTAAAGTATTTTTTAATATACTCAGTAACTCGAGGACAGATACTGTTTTTTCTAGGGCAAGCATAAAAATAAGAGTAAGGAAATATGTAATTAATAATCTAGTATGTGGAAAATTAACTAACAAATACTTAATTCATCCAAAAAAGTCAAGAAGAGAAAAGGAAAGTAAAACAAGTGAGATAATGGAAACCAACTAATAATATGCTAAATTTAAATCCAATAGTACAGTAATAACAATGAATATAAATGGACTAAATACTCATTTAAAAACAAAGTTTGTCAGTCTAGCATTTAAAAAAACTGTATGCTGCCTATAAGAGACACACATTAAATATGACAATAGTTGAAAGTAAGAGGATAGAAAAGGATAGTATTAAACATTAAAATAATTCTGTTGTTACTATGTTAATATTTGTAGAGTAGACTTTAAGGCAAAAAGCATTACTAGGGGAATATTTCATACCAATCAAAGGTCAATTTATTAGGAAGATATAAAAAATCTAAGTTGATATGTACCTAATAACATAGTCTCAAAAGACATAAAACAAAAACTGATGGAATTATAAAAAGAACTAGACAAATCTATAATCAAAGTAGGTAAACACACCTCTCTCAGCAACTGATAAAACAAAAGAACAAAAATTGTAATGATATAGATTTCCACAAAATTATTAATTAAAAACATTAACATATTGAACACTGCGCCTAACAAATCTAGAATACACATCCTTTTGAAATAACCGTGAAACATTTTAAAATTTACTGTATGCTGGTTCATAAAGCAATTTTCAACAAATTGTAAAGTATTTAAATAAGTGGAAAATTATGCTTTGTTCATAATCTCAGTGTTGTTAAGATGTCACTGTAAATTCACATATAGATGTAATAAAATCCCATTCATAACATCTGAAGGTTTTTTTTTTATGTGACATCTCTGGAGAAGTCACATTTTCTTTTTTTAAAAATAATTTTTAAAAAATATTTTTTTATTGATTTCAGAGAAGTAGAGAGAGATAGAAACATCAGTGATGAGAGAGAATCATTGATTGGCTGCCTTCTGCATGTTCCATACTGGGGATTGAGCTGCAACCTGGGCATACACCCTGACAGAGAATTGAACTGTGACCTCCTGGTTCATAGGTCGATGCTCAACCACTGAGACACGCTGGCTGGGCCCTCTGAAGTTTTAAAAGTAAATATTGATAAAGTAATTTCTAAAATTTATATGAAGGTCAAGATGAACCAAGACAACTTTGATGAAGACAGACTTTGTGGACATACTAGTACTAGATGTCAAAGTGTATTATAAAGGAAGACAGCATGACATCAGTGGAAAGCTGAACAAATGGATCAGCGAAAGGTAATATAGTCCAAAATCAGACATATATCACTCTGGACATTTGATTTATGACAAAGGTGATGGTGCTGAGTTCATTGGATTTCCATAAGAAAAAGAAATTAGTTCTCAGGTGGATCTTACATGTAAAAGTAAAAGAAGA